TCTATTTCAGCTAAAAACCAGGACAATGACCGGGCCCAAAGAGTTATGGTAATGGAGTTAAATCCAGCTGGTGGCTGGTCACAGGTGGTGTTCCCCAGGGCTCAGTATTGGGGCCAGTTCTGTTTAAGATCTTTATGAATGATCTGGACAAGATGATTGAGTGCACCCTCAGCAAGTTTGAAGATGACACCAAGTTGGGCAAAAGTGTTGATCTGCTTGAGGGTAGGAAGGCTCTGTAGAGGGACCTGGACGGGCTGGATGGATGGGCAGAGGCCAACTGTACAAGGTTCAACAAGGCCAAGTGCCAGGTCCTGCACTTGGGTCACAACAACCCCATGCAACGCTACAGGCTTGGGGAAGAGTGGCTGCAGAGCTGCCTGGCAGAAAAAGACCTGGGGGTGTTGCTTGACAGCTGGCTGAACATGAGCCAGCAGTGAGGCCAGGTGTGGCCGAGAGCATCCTGGCTTGTATCAGAAACAGTGTGGCCAGCAGGACAAGGGCAGTGATCGTCCCCCTGCACTGGGCACTGGTGAGGTCGGAGCTCGAGTGCCGGGTTCAGTGTTGGGCCCCTCACTACAAGAAAGACATTTTGGTGCTGGAGCATGTCCAGAGAAGGGCAACAGAGCTGGGGAAGGGTCTAGAGCACAAGTGTGATGAGTTCACTGCTGAGGGAACTGGGGTTGTTGAGCTGGAGAAAAGGAGGCTGAGGAGAATCTTGCTCTCTGCAACTACTCAAAAGGAGGTTGTAGTGAGGTGGGTGTCAGTCTCTTCTTTCAAGTAACAAGTGATAGGACAAGAGGAAAAGGCCTCAAGTTGTGCCAGGGAAGGTTTAGATTGGATATTAGAAAAAATTTCTTCACTGAAAGAGTTAAGTATTGGAACAGGCTGCCTAGGGAAGTAGTGGAGTCACCATCCCTGGAAGTGTTTTTTTAAAAGACATATAGGTGTGGTGCTTAGGGACATGGCTTAAAGGTGAACTTGGCAATATTCAGTTTATGGTTGGACTCTATGATCTTAAAGGCCTTTTCAATCAAAATGATTCTATGATTCTATCCTTTTTACTCTATTGCTGGAAATATGGTGCTTGAAAGTCCAAGGAACAATGATAGGTGGAGGGATAATTTTCCACTAGAGGAAGCAATTTTCACATTTGATAAAATAATATGGAGGTATGCTTGCTGTGATTCTTCTTCTGTGGATGACAGCACTGGAAGATTTGACATGACAATATATACAGAAATGCATCTGCTAGCTTTGGAAGACAGCAAATTGATCATCATTGCTGGTCCTGTTTATTGGGGAGGTGTTTTGCTTATCTTTGTTTTTACTGATGTTTAGGTTCATCTTGTTTGTGGAAAGAGCAATAAATTGGCTTATGTGTCTGAGCCGAGTACTTGTGTTTACTCTCTGACATTTGAGACTCCTCTTGTGTGCCATCCCCACTCTCTTTTAGGTAAGATTTAGAAAATAATTTGTTTGTGGAGCAGCTGGCATATTTTGCCAACCTCAGAGTGTAAATTTTTAGGTTATTTGAGTTTGTAACTTGATATAAATTAATATTAAATGTAACATATAATACAAAGTATATTCTAAATCTCAATCATTATAACACATAGGTATTTCTAAAATAAATTGTCATTGCTAGTATAGACCCAATGAGTGACTTTTTGCTTTTTTCTTGGACTGATCATAGCAATCAGCCCTGTAGTATCTGCTTATTTACTTACTTTTCTTACATTACAAAAAAATAGAGCTCAGTTAGAATTACATTCAACAAAGAAATATGAGTCCTTCTAGCTGGAAATACAAGAAAAAAATTTTGGTTGGTGGCATTCTCCAGAAACTTTAAATATGTGAAGTGGATTTTAAGTTTAACCCCAGCTCTTTGAAGCAGTAGAGACTATGTACTGTATAGAAACACTGAGTTCTTAAAACAAATATGCTTGCCTGCATTAGAGGAGCATTTAACTAATGCACGGGCATGCTGTTGGTTATTATATGGTCTGACTTCCATTTTTCAGTGTATCCGACTCTGACTGAAGCACTACAGAGGAAGTGGGATGAAGCAGAGCAGCTTCTATATGATGAACGAATAACTGACCAGGTTTGTTAATTTCTTCCAACTCTATTTGGTAAAGAACACCTACTGTCAAATAGCCAAGCCTGGCTTCTGCATTTGGCAAATAGTAATTTTTGTGCTCTGTAACTGCTATATCAGCTGGTAATTGTAATGTTTTCTACAGTGAAGCCTGAGGAATTGGAATGGCCAGTGCAGGTTACAAGCAGAGATGAGAGTCTGGTGGATTGATCTATTGTCTTTTGGAAACTTTCTTTTCTAGGGATACAAAAAATTACTGAAAGAGATTTTTGAGGAAGCAGGACTTTTAAAAGCAACAGAAGAAAAAGAAGTTGAGAAACAGAATAAGAAAATAAGTCTGGAATTTGAAACAGTGGAAAAGTGCAGTAAGGTATAGAGCGTAATATTTACAATGTGGAATTAAATTGCCACCTTTTTACTGTATGACTGTATCAGTGTGGCAACACTATGTAAATACTCTGGATTCAGCTGAAATCTGTTCATGGGATTATCTTTTCTGGTTTCAATTTGTAATAGTCTGCATACAGAGTGATTTGATATCTTTATTCTAGCCCTTAAGTCAAAAACAAAGCAGCACAACTGACTGCCCAATAAGAAGATGGAGGAGTATGTAGGAATTAGTGTAGGTGCTTGGTTTGTGAACACCTTGTAAGTACTCTTTCTGGGGAATATCAGTCTGGAAATAGGAAGGAATTACTAGTGCAAATAAATGTGTAACCAGCCTTGGGAATAAATCACTTCTCTCTGTGGATAATTACCCAGACTTGTGTCAGAATGCATTGGCTGTTACGCAAGTAAAAGGCAGAATGATCTATGCTGTGTCCATTTCTGAATGACTTTCATGTGTGTGAACAGTCCTTCTGCAACAGAATTGAAATAGGGAAAATAGAGGTAGAAGCCGAAGAGTACAAGCTGAACATCAAAAAAAGAGCATGGAAGAGAATTAATTCTTTATAATGTAGAGAAGAAGCTGGTGTCATTTTATTTTAAAATGCAGCAAAGACAAAACACTGCATAGTATTTCCTGAATACAGCCAAATAAACTGGTTAAGCTGAATTTACTTGTATGAAGATCATAATTTTGATTTAGTAAGAAGCTTGAATATTCACCTTTTATTTTTTTTTAATAGTTCACAGTATTTAATAATTTGTAATTCTTTTTCTGGCTTTATCATAGCTTAATTGACATGAAGTTGGCTGTTTTGGTAACCACAGAGTCTTAAATAGTTAATCTTTTGCTCTTCCTCAATTCTGTAAAAAAACCAAAACACAACAAAAAATTCGAACTTTTTTTGAGATTTCGGATATGTGGTTTAAGTCTCAAAAGTACTGAGCAATCCCTAGCTCTGTAAGGTAACAGAAACTGCTGCAATCAAGAACATGAAGTTACTAGGTCAAGAGTTGAGGAGGTGACAAATTTCCAGACTGTAGGATTATGATATAAAATAAAATAAGGCTAGTCCTGTAGCAAAGTTATGAATGCAATTTTGCGCTATGATAAAATGCTAGTTAGAGGACAAATCTGAAATAGTTACAGAAACCACTTCTAATTTTAACTCTCAGGCAGGGAAAAAGCTGGCTCCTGCTTTGGCAACACAGCAGTACATCTTTTCATGAAATTTGCACCTTGTTCTTGGAATCAGCAGTTTATCTTTAAAATCTTTTAAGTTGAAAGCTGTAACAGCTGTGCACAGGCCCTTTTTTTTAATAAACTTGCAGTTACGTATGTATTTGGAGACTCAGTTTAAATGTGTTTTCTTTCTTAGGAATACAAGCAACTTTCTAAAGAAATTAAAAAACTTAAAGATTTATTAAGTCAGCATGGTATTGCATACAAAGGAAATTCTGGTGAGTTTTTTGGTATTGTTCTTTTTCATTATTGTCTGTTCAGAATGTGAATACCCAAATGTTGTTTTCATTTACAGCAAGGGGTAATCTGTCATGTATGGAGGTAAAATTCAGTAGACAAAGTTTTGATAAGTACTTAGGTCTTGATTCCTGCACAAGGGGACTTATTTTGCCCCCAAAAATCTATTGATTACTTGAAATTTTAGTTTTATAGAAAAATTTTGACTGCTGTTGTAATTGAAGTTTGTCTCCAGTACCAAAGAAAAAGGAAATCACTGTTAACAGCATTCGTAGCACATAAGCATCTTTTAAATAACTCAGTTTTCTGCATAGTCAACCACAAGGCTTGACTTCTTGAAGAACACTTGAAATGTTCTCTGTATCTGTTAGAATTGTTTTTCTCCTTTCTTAGTCACCTTTTTTTTCTCTCTTTGATTTCTGTTAAGTAAGTACTATATCACATGGAGTCTTTAGAAGGAAAGACTGTTGGGTGCTGGCTATGAAAAAGCAAGGCTTGTCTGGATTAATTCCAGACAAGTTGGGGTTTTTTCTTGTTTTGTTGTTGGGTTTTTTGTTTGTTTGTTTGGGGTTTTTTTTTTTGTTTCCCTCTCAATTCCTTCCAGTCCAATATGCCCATTATTGAATACATGAACTATTTGTCTGAGGAGGATTTAATTTCCCTGAGCGTGTATTTATACTTTTTATGTTCAGAGTTGGCATCTCAAGAAAACAGTGAATTTATTATAAGTTAACTAAAAATTAGTGACATACTCAATTTTTTTCTTCCTTTTGTTTTGAGAAACTTTCTTCTCTGTTTTTTAGAATTGCTGACTTTCTTTTCTAGGGAAAATTAACCATTTTAGAATCTTTGTAAAACATTTTATCTGCATGTTTAAACTATTAACTATGTAACTTGCACAGTATTTCCGCCTGTTTGGTAGTTCATTTAGTTGTTGCAGATTAGAACTGAACAATCAAAAGCAGAATTCACAGCTTACTCTAGAAGACTTATTTCAAAACTGTTAGTGAATTCTGTGACAAAAGTGCTTTGGTGTTAAAGAGCACAAATAACTGATGTCTTCAACTAAATATTACAGCTGAAAATACTAGTGTTGAACATAAAAGTCACAAACTGGCAACTGCAGTGACAACTGTTCTTAATGGGTCAAAGGATGGTGAGCACCTGCATGGCGATATGGGAATGTGGAATTACACTGCATGAAGAAACTTGAGTGGTAAACAGCAAGTTCATACGGACTGTCAAGTTGAACGTGCATCGTGGCACTAAGATGATTTACATTCTGCTTTCTGAATTTCTGCCCTAAAGCAATGGGATCATAACAGAATGAGGGCTTGCCATTACTGAGAACAGTTGGCTAGTTTCTAAGAACATTTGTAAAATTCCTTTGCTAAGGTGGGTATTTGGCATAGGTTTACATATTCTGCTCTCCAGTCCCATCTTTATTTTCTTTGATCGAGCATGGTAACAGGTGGTATAAATATAAAATAGTTCAAGTCCAATGCTATAAGATGTTGTATGAAAGGCAGTAAGTACAATATTAAGAACATGTTATTTCATCTGTATGCTGTTTTCTGTGCAGACTTTAGCAGAAAAAAAGCCCCATTTCTGCCACCGCAGGAGCATGACACACCACTTTACTGGCCTGTGTTGAGAGGTTGATGTGCTCTTTCAATAGCAGGTGGATAAAATGAAAGCAGTTCAGGATCTGATGGAAAGGTGCTATGATTACACCAAATTGTTATAAAAGAATAGTTGTGTAAGGGAATATATGGCAATTCTCTGTACGTAACATGGAATAAAATGGACTCTTCCAACACAAGCTGTGGAAACATTACTACAGGAGTCGGAGAACTCTGGCTCCAGTCGTTCTGCCGCCTCCTGCTCTCCGGTTCGTGAGCCTGACAGGCGGCCAGCGTGCGGGCCCCCCCGTCTCCACCATCGTTTCGGCC